GCGAGAATGGGTGGACGAATGGATTGCTTCGAAACAAACATCGTTTTATCGAGATGGTATCGCCCAGTTGCCAGAAAGATGGCAAAAAGTTGTAGAAAGTGATGGAAAATACTTTCATTGAAATAATTTAAATAAATTTTTTACAATAAATGCTTTTTCTCAGTATTTTTTGGGCGGAAACTAAGTTAAGGTCCTAATATTTAATTATTTAATTATTTAATGTACTCTACATTATATTATCAATATTTTATAATATTTAATTAATTACTACACGTGTTCACAATAGCTTTTATTACGTTCATACTGCGTTGTAATTATTAAGATCTCTATTGAGCTATTTAATATGGTTATTTAGTATTTATTTATTACAATACTTTATTCGTGGTTGAATGAGTTTTTATGAATGTATAAATTATGAATTTTTCTGCGCAAGAAATATTTTTCAAAGCAACCGCAGAGCTGCCTCTAAAACTTGCAAATATAAATTGTGGCGCCGCGAGGGATTTGTTTCGGTAAAAAAAGGGCCGGTCAGCAATTCACGTCACGTCGATTATAACGTTTTATTTTGCTGGTTTTATAAAATCTTATGTCTCGTGACATAAATAATCCGGTTAAACGTACAAAATCACAAAATGTTATTTTACTTTGAATCTGTGAACGTGTCATACACACGCGCGCGATATTTCTCTATCAAGTACATGGGATATTGATATTAGTGTCAAATGTAATGCCGTTTTCACACCAGTCTTGTTTGCGCTTTGTAACGCATCTAGAAATTAAATTCATGTTGGAGAGGATGCGCGCACAAAGGATGTCATAAAAATGTCATTGTTTAACGCATTCGCGTGTACGATTGTATGTGTGTGTGTGTGTGTGTGTGTGTGTGTACGTGTGTATACGTGCGCGCAAAAAGTTATTCACAACGAATACCGGTGCGTTTGCCAGCTACCAAGATGTAATTACATTACCGCGTCTTTTCGATACCGCGCGTCCATATATTTCCGTAAAAATCTCCGCGTGAACGTATGCGCGCTCAAAGCTAACGTATAATTACGTGGCGGATCTCGTTAAGGTCTTCTCATTAAGGGCGATATGGAAATGTATGTTTTCGATAAACGAACAGATACGGAAAATGCGAGAACGCGCCCGGCACCAATTACGCTTTTTTAAGTAACGAGAAATTATGCGCCGTTTCCGCGTCTCGCTCTGTCATTTCATCGTTTAACAATACGTTACAATTTTTTCGTTTCGCGCTGCAAAGCAAGACAGACGACAGATTATCATCATCCCATCTGTCCAAAGGGTGATACCCGGAGATCACTATTTCCTTCGTATGATCGCGCAACCGAGATGCTCTGCTAACGTTATAGCCGTGTGATAACACTGCAATAATAATTAGACCTCGTAACACCGCAACTAATTTTAACGACTGCATGTACGTAAACCGATAAATATGCGCGACTCCGCCGCTGTGCTTCGTTTGGCCGAGAGATATTCCGTGTAAGATTAAAATATAGGACGCACGCGCACGCACGTGCGTGCGGTGAGTTTCTCGCACGATGATAATTCCGTTGATGTGAGCCCACAAGTTTTAAATAGATCTTTAATATGCGAAGATATCGTGAATACATTATACCATAGAGTTCTCGGCTTCGGAATGACCGCACGGGTCGTCCGATTCGCCACGTGAGAAGAATTCTCTTCGCCTGCAACCGCGAAGAAACGAGGTTATTTAGCTCGCCGCGATACACTCGGAAGGAGCTTACGTGCTTGACATTTTCCATTTGAAAATCGCGAGGCGCGGGAGGGCGAAAGCCGCGCCTGAGATTTCCCGGACGAGATTCGTGGCCACGTTGTACACTGTCCGCGTCCCGTTTTACGTGGAATCAATTGTCCTGTTTCACGCAGTATAAATAAATCGAGGTGGTCCCGGCCGGCGCTACCGCAAACAAACATTACCGCAGCCCCGTGCAACGTAAGAATTATGTTAAACTATGTATAGCGCGGCGAAAGAACGAATTCGAAGAGCTGCAGGTCGCCGATCGCCAGAACGCGCTCGCTCGCCCCACGATATTTGCACTCCCAAGAAATGCAAACTCACATTCTCTCTTATATTGTATAATATCCTATATATCAAAAAAATACTTGCAGCAACTACATTTTCTTTTATTTGCGCAAGTCTCGATAAGTACTATCGATTAATAATCGTAAAGCACAACGGTATTATTCATTCGACATGAATTTTAAATATCTAAAAAAGTGTAATCTTTTTTCTTCTCAATAAGAATAATAATTTCAAAGGGTGTAGTTCAATTATTAGTTACAGACGTCCAGTTAGCTATTGTGAATTTTGTTCATACTTGTAGGAAGCTTACGTAAAATGATCCTAGAAACGTGCTTTTTCAGTATGTATAGTTCGTCATGGGAGACTCTGTATAAGAGGATTATATTTTTCTTGCGGAATCCGCAAGAGCTTGTTTATATGAATAACCTGGTGTTATTTTATAATTATTTCGACAACTAATCGCTCTCTCACCCCCGCTTTGAATAATTGATTCCTATCACGTAGCACAGAGTAATCGAATTCGCCGTAACTTACGTAATCTGAGCTCCTACGCGTCGAATTACATAAGTCGATAGGAAATATCCGCGCGCGAAATCGCTACGGCAATCTGGAGGTGAAACGCGCGCACCGAATTATTGAGGTGTGAGAGGAAACGAGGGATCTTGCCGAGATTTATGGGGATAATTACAAAATTCGCGACGCTCGCTCGCACAATTCCCCGGTGATCCGATGGACTTCGAGCGGTTTGACATGCCATCGTCGCCAAGTGCGTCTCGTCGAGACCGTTCGTCAAAGCTCGAGAGGAGCTCAGGGGTCGTGCCAAGCCAAAATTCGTGTAAGCTCCCAGCGATCTGCGTAACGATAAAAATCGTATCCCATAAGGTTCATTCCCCCCGCACGTGAGATCGGTTCATCGGGCACTGAAAAGCTCCCGCACTCGAGACGTCGTTGACTCACAGCGCGATATAACTCGAGATAATCCGTCGCGCGAAACAGAGGGATCCGATTACTCGTGCATAGAGTGTAACGAATGTTCACCCAGAGGACGATTTCAGGCAAATTTCGGTTTACCGAAACTTCATTTCAGAATCTGAAGTACTTAAATAAGTTTCCTCGGTATACAAACAAATGAAAGAGAGAGAAGGAAGAAATAAGAGCTAACTCCGTTAGCGTAGCTCTTATTTGGAGACCAGACGAGAAACTCGATCGTAGAATCAGAAAGATTTCCGTACGAGATATTTACTCACCTAATCGTCTTCAGTTATTTCAACTGAGTCTTAACATAACTGAATATTCAAGCGAATCTCTTCAATCACGGTAACAGAGATGTTATTTCTCGTCATCGAGTTTGCTCGTCTGCTCTCTGTCCAGTTACATGAACTGAAATTTGTTTTCCATGTGGGAGCCAGTGATTGTTGTCAGATATTATTATCCTCCCATATTTTACAATCGCGACTGGTTCTCGTAGGAGGCTTTCTCTCTTTCATTCGGTAGAATCTAAAGTAAAGTTCACCGAGATATGAAACATTTGAAATTTAAACACACATTAGAGAAGCGGCCATCGTATTCGCAATTGGGGAAAATTCATTTCGAATGTGCCAAGAAATTCGCGCGTCGAGGAGAAGCCGATTAGCACGAGACGCTTTGTAGGTAAGAATCCATGGCGGGATTGCGTCCTCGAGTATACCGAGCGAATATTCTGCTCCATACCGTATCGAAAGGCGGATGATATTCACGTCGTGAAAACGCGTGTCCCTCCTAATTGCAGAGGCCGCTATAACCGAGCAGCAAACGATCTGCGTAGCGGATCTTTCTGTGTTCTCCTCATCGCGAACTGAGATACTCCACTGTGCGAGAGCGCTACGTTGTTCCCTGACCCACCCTAAGATCGTGCCAGGAATGCATATTATATACAGACACAATGTTATTCACGAGAATATACAAGAACATGCGGGTATATGCCTGTGAGTTGCTCCTTTCCGCGACTTCGCGACCTTCTTGCCACGATTCGCGCGCCCAAGTTCGCATTCGAAGCTGAAGCGCCAGCAAGCTAGCATTGGTTTCTGCGCGCCATTCTGAGATATTAACCTACTTCGAGTTGATGTGCGACGGATAAATCGAAAGGTTGCGTATCTTAGATCCTGACAATTGCTGCTCGCGAACGCCACCCTCCCCATCCGCACCCTTTCGTCTCTTCTGTGACGCAAGC